TAAGTTATATCGGTATAAGTCAGTTAGAAATATAACAGGCGCATTATTACTTCAAAATAACGCAAGAATTTTTTTTAATAGTACTCTGTATTCAAGCTAATAAAGTTAGCACAATGCAGTTTTAATGGTTTTATTTTAAGTTTAGTACAGTACGGAAAAATATATTCTTGCTTAATTTTGGAATAATGGCCAACCCAGTATATCTTCTATTAACTTATACTGATAACTTGAATAATCTCATAAAACTTTTATTCAAAACTTTTTTGTAAACCTATCAGAAATTTAATTTTAGTAAGTTGCATTAAGTTCTGTTCACTTTGTGTATAAATTTCGACTTCTAACTATCTTATAACTGGCATGTCAAATTTTTCAAATAAACGTTATTTGAGAAATATTTTTAGATAAAATGGCGGCAGTATTCAAATTTATTACCTATTTTGCTTACTCCTCTATTTATGGGATGTTTGTAATTTTTTCTCTGATTAAAATGATGTGAATATCTGAAATACCTTTTAGTTTAAAAATAAATACAACAAAAAAAAGGTGTATTGTATCGATGTATATTTTAAATGAGTTCCGGCTGAACCATTGAAAGCATCCAGGGGGTGACGTCACGTCACGGCTGACTCAACAGAAATTGAACGAATTCAGCTATCCTCTTTAATTGTTAAAGGTATTGGTTGACAATGCATAATTTAATAATAAATTTCATATTTCAAAAAAGTTTAAAAACTTTTGGATTACACAAAGTAATTGATTTAAAAGTTTTTGAAAAGTACTTTAGAGATAATGATAATGTAATATTAATATTTAGTCAAAATGTACTACAATTTAATCAAAATGTATGTATAAATCGCCGAATATGGCTGGAAATTAAAAGTAAAAGAGTTTTTTTAGGAAGCGAAGAGAAACGAAATAAATTAATAATTTTTATGGAATTGACACTCGATTGCCGTAAGTTGCCATCGATAGTGTTATCGATTGTCCGATATTTTATCAAATACAGGCACTTAAAAAATTGGCAACATGACTATAAAAAATAATAGAGACGTTATTTAAGGAAATCGAGGTTATATCAAAAAATGGTTTATTTTCTGATTAACTTTTGTTATTTATTTTGGTTTTGTCGTGTTTAAATTGATCAAAAATAGTAAGTAGTGTCATTTGCATTAAGAATATAGCGAATATAGCTAAAATAGTGAAAATTGTTATGTTCGTATTAGGCTTTCCGACGACCTATCAAAATGTTGCCAGTGGGAACTGACAGTTTAGATATGGCAACCTTATGAGCCTGTTGTCATTGACAGGGTCAATGATACATATATAGTTATATAGATTGCTCAAAGCGGGTCGTTTGCAAGCGGCCATATTGTTCGGCAAGTGTTCATTAATTTGAATCGGTTTAGTAAAAATGTGTTTTAAAACTAATTTTCAGCCTTTAAATATTAAATAAAAATAATTTCCTACATTTTTACTTAGAGACATAAGCTTGTGTTTATTTTTAAAAACATGGATGACTAATCTTTGTAACTATCTACATCCTTGGCCCTATTAAACTACCAGGCCCACAGTGTTGCCATATTATAATCTTTCATGTGCTTGTTAGTGGCCTGTGATTTCAAATGGACAGCCATTTTGTTTGGAATGCCTAATTGTTTAGAGTCATCCATCTTTCTTTCTACAAACGCTCTATTTCTAACTAGTGAAAGAACGTAAAATAAATAGGGGAGACCGGGTACGGTTGTCACAAGTTTTGGTTTTAAGTTTTTATTATTAATATTAATATTTCACATATAGTGCCTTTAGATACAATATTTGGGCATTTTAATTAAAATATTCTTTTTTTTAAGCTACTTGGATATATTTATTTTTGACGTATAAATTAACGTCGGCAGATGTGACAACTTACCCCGAAAACAGATTGGTTGTCACAGATATTAGGGTTCCTTTTCGAAGAGCCGTAATCCGATCTCCTAAAAAGCTTTTAGGAACTGCAAAAAAAGGACCCATCGAATTTCACTAGGGTTATACGATCCTTAAAATATAATAATATTAAGTTCTCTTTCAGATGGATCAAGAAAATTGGAAACTTGGTAATTTTTCTTTAGAGAAGTGGCTTTTTGCGAATTTTCCGCAGGGCTACTTTTTTTGACATCGGATTTATCAGTTTTATTAAATTGCAAAAACTGTTTTTCTAATTTTCCCCATTTCTCCGTTTAATTTTCCATAAGAGAAATTTCCGTTTGCTACTCGGCGATCCTCACAATCTGTATTAGATATTTTCCCGATACCACAAACATATTTCCCAGGAAAATTAGGGAAATTGCAACAGTTTTACTTAAGTTTTAATGAATTCTGCTGATGTTAATTAATTTCGTTATGTGGATGAGCTCGAAATTATGTTATAACGTGGATTCTAAAAATTGACCAGTGCATAAAAAGTTCGCGAGTAATTTAACCTGTTCGTGGGCTAAAATCTACTTTAAATTAATGTATAGTTAAAACTAAAAGACCAAAAAAAGAAGATTTAGTTCGGCGCCACCTAGTTTTAAAAAAATCGAAAAAACTAAACACAGATGAACTATAACGAGACGTCAATTGGAGTTGGCTGTAAAATTGAAATTTTTAGCCACTTCCTCAAAATGACATTTTCACCTTTATATCGAAACTAAACGTTTGTTTTAAATTTGACAAAAATTTTATTAGGAAAATTAAAATTCAAAAATTCAAAACAGTGTATATATTAGAATAGTCATCATGAGTTCGATTCCTAGATGAAATCATTTTTTATTATTTAAATTTTATTTCTGGTCGCAGATAAAATAGTGTATATAAATCTCGTGTACTGCAACTCTCATGTGCCACCATTAGAGAATTGTTATATAATACAACTTTTACCTATCCAGATGTATTGATTATTTAAGAACTTGAAACAAGACGACAAATATACAAAATATTATTAATAATTTTTCATTTCAGATTTCATCTATTAGAAAATCTAATTTGCTAAAAATACTCTACGTCTCTTTGATAGATAAAAGTTGTGTTTGTTTTCTTTAACTAAACCAATTTTGGTTGCTTGCTCGTTCTTTTCTTTTAAACTTGAACGTTTAACCGATTCCAATGTATTTAATTCAATTTGAAATCTGATAAAGAACATACAGGGTATCACATCTTTTTTTCTACAGTGAATAATGCTCAAAATTGTATCCACAGTTATTCGTCTTTAATAATTTGAGTATTAAATTAATTTACTGATCAATAAAAACAAAAGGAATTCGTAATATTTTTCGATTAGACCACAGAATCTGTAAATATGTAATAATAAAAGATGAGATAGAGCTTTGGTAGGCACAAAGTCTAAAACAATCTGGATATTGATTAAGGCTTTGATTAACTAAAAAAAAAGAGTTGCTTCATCTATTTTGAATTAAGAAAGGAAATATAGCGTCGCCCATTTTCCAAAAAATTCTTGAGTTAGGTCCGATACAAATTGATTTTAATGCATTTTTTGTTAACAAACATGATATTTTTTATTTTTGTTTTTTGTAACATTATTGAGGAATATAAATGGCTTTAAGAAATATTTCTTTTTAAACAAAATAATTTTTATTATAAGCTATTACAAAAAAAAACTTAAAAACAAAGATTTATTTATATTATATTGTAAGTACTTAGTCTTTGGTCCCAGGGAAAACTAATTATTCATGGGGTAGGTGAGTATAAAATGCCTATGGTCCTCCGACCTTATAACACTCTTCTCTCCTTGACATGGGGGCATAAGTTTCTATATTTAAGGTTCAGTATCTTGATTGGGCCTGTATTTAATTTAAGAACTGGATTCTTAAGAGGGTGATTAGACTCTATATTTCTCTTAAGAGAAATGCTGCTGTACGATGAGCTGCTTAGTTCAGTTTTGAACTGAATTGTATTTGGCTTTAGTTTCCTAACTAGCAGTTTAGATACCTTTGTCCAGTCGACGGTGTCACTGGAATTGTCACATTTTCGAATGGTCAGCAGGGGGCGTACTGCCTAACTTTGTGGAAATAGAGTAGAGCAAGAGATAGAAATGGAAAGGAAATTTCTTTCTATCGATGAAATGCACCGCCGATAGACTTCTCTACGATCGATCGGAAACGTTCGGTTTTCTCTATGCTTTTATACTAACCTTTCAAAATAAACTAAAAACATTAGGTAAATTTAGGGATATTCGAGATTTCACTAAAATATTAATTTGAAACTTGAAAAGCGAGTTATTTGTCATGTCTAATTTGTAGTTATGTTTCCGCTCGATGCTCTGTAGAAAGGTGTATAGGTAAATAAATTTTTTTATGCAACTAATCATTATTTATTTATCGTATTATGTGTTTTTAGGAGTTTTAAAAATGCGTTTTAGATGCATTAATAAAGAGCGAGTCCTTAAGTATTCTCCATATAAAGCAGGACAAATTATTAATTGTTGTGGAGTGTTGCACAATATTTGTGTTATGGGGAACGTTCCTTTAGATGAGGATAATGAAGAAGAGGTTGAAAGAGATATTAACGAAGATATAGATGATTTGCGGAACAATGCACCACAAAATGTAGTTGTAGAAGGACAACAAAGGCGTCAACAGCTCATCAATGCATATTTTCAGTAATTATTATTAAATTTATTTTGATTATTATTTGATTATTAATTGTTATTATTATATTATCGTTATATTATTATTATATTTATTAATATAACACATGTTTAATATCAAGCTGGAATGAATAAATAAATTAATATAAAGTTAATACTTTAATATTGCAATTTATTTTTAACAGTTAACACAAAAAATTTTCTTAAAACTAAGTAAATAAATAAACAAATAAATACTTAACAAAATACATTTATACATAAATAAAAAAACATTCTAATGAACACAAATGAAAAAATAATTCTAAAACTAATGAAAACAAAAAAAAAACACTGAAGAACAGAAAAAAAATTCTTAAAACGAATGAAAACAAATAAATCACAGATTCTTTTCAATCATGTGATTAACAAATCGCTTAAAATCATCTTTAATTTCAACAATCGCAGAGGACATCACCCCTACTTTATTGTCAATTTGTTTTATAATTTCTAATTGTTCCGCATGCATCCTATTTATCGAAACAAATCTTTTTGTTTTTTCTGTTTGGGTACATTTAAGTTTTTTCCGGTGAATCATCTCCTCTACACCCGTTTTTCTTTTTGTTGCGGTAGAGGAGGATGATGTTGATGCAATTTGTGCCAGAGGTGGTGGTGATGGTGGCACTTCCATAGCTTTATCCATTTTCCTATTTGCTTTTCCCGTTTTCTGTAAAATAAAAAATATTTAGTTCAAATGTTTAACAAATATAAGTATATTTTGTACTTACAAATCCTAACTCGGTGTTACCGTCACCTGACACCGACCTCCAGCCATATACAGGGTGTTATTGAAATACACGTACATATTAAAACTGGGTATTGCGCAGATCCCACTGAATGTAGAAAAATATTATTTTTTAAAAATACCCCTTATTAAGGGAGTTATTAATTGTTGAAAATTAATTTTAAAACAAACGTACTTCACTGATATGTTGAGGATGACCTATATAAATTAGGTTTATTTACCTATTTTAAACATCAACAGTAATTAATATGCAAGTTTTTGTCAGATGATAAGAAAACTAGTCTTGTAAGAAATAACCATGTTGCCAAGATTTTCGAATTAATTTCTATTTCCGAAGACTGGTTTTTACTACCCTCGTTATCAAAAAACTAGAATATTTGATAAATGATTGTTTTTAAACTATACATTTTTGAAACTATAGATTATTAAAATTTTAGTTGATTTACGAATCTGGCTAACACGAGCGCGTCATTTCCAAGTTGGTAAAAAGTGTTGTTACGATTACTTTTAAATATTTTTTTACGATGCCACTATTTACGAATATTGAACTAACGGATATAGTGCTGGTTTATGGGGCAGCTGGAGAAAATTCTCGGCAACCACAAATCCTGTATCGCGAACGGTTTCCAAATCGGAGAATTCCGGACTGTCGTACGTTTATTTCAACTGTTCAGCATCTAAGAGACCATGGAAAATTTGAGAGTGTCAATGCAGATCGAGGGAGAACAGGAACACAAAGAACATTGGCGGCCGAAGAAGAAATATTGGAAGCTGTTGAAAACCGGCCTCAATTAAGTTGTAGAAGACTAGGTCTTGAAATTGGAGTGTCCTCATTTGTTGTGTGGCGGACACTTAAAGAACATGGTTTACATCCTTATCACATCCAAAAAGTCCAGGCCTTATATCCAGGTGATGAAGAAAAGAGAGTGGAGTTTTGTGAATGGATGATTCAAAAATGTGTTGATATTCCTGATTTTCTAAAAATAAAGTTGTATACTGACGAGGCTTCATTCACTCGTGATGGCGTGTTCAATATGCACAATACGCATATTTGGAGTGATGAAAATCCTCACGCCATTAGGGAAACTGGGCATCAAAGAAAATTTTCAATAAATGTTTGGGCTGGCATAATAGATCAGTATTTAATCGGGCCTTATGTTCTCCCGAACAGATTAAATGGGCCAGGATATCTCCACTTTTTAGAAGATATTTTGCCAGTACTCCTAGAAGAGATACCGTTACAATTAAGGCAACGGATGTGGTACCTACTAGATGGCGCTCCTCCTCACTTTGATTTAAACGTACGGCAGTTTTTGAACATTAGATTTCCTCAAAAGTGGATAGGCAAAAATGGACCTACTAAGTGGCCTCCGAGATCTCCGGACTTAAATCCATGCGATTTCTTTTTGTGGGGTCACATGAAACAACTGGTTTATAATGAACCTATTAATAGTGTTGAACAATTAACCAATAAAGTTAATGCGGTAGCCGAGGAACTACGACAAAATCCAAGACTAATTTCTAATGTTCAAAGTTCTTTGGAAAGACGATTGCAAGTGTGTGTAAATAATAATGGACGGCATTTTGAACAATTACTGTAATAAACTTTATTTTGAATTAATTGGTTTTGCTACGGCAACAGTGCAATTTCTATGGGTAAGTTCAATTTCGATTTATTTTACTTCTTTAAATATGGAAACTAGTAGGTCGGAAAAGGGGACTCTTTCCCAATATTTAAATTTTAGAATTTGAAGTTAAAATTGGTGCCAATCGTTTTTAGTCATTACATACTATTCCCCATTTTAATATGTACGTGTATTTCAATAACACCCTGTATATTCATTAGCCGCTCTTCGATGTCTGTTAATGGCGGAGCTAAAGATGGCCCACCACCAGTTTTTTGGGATTCGCTCCGAAAAGTGGCAGCCTTACTTTTCACTTTCGACTTCCATCTGCCTATTGCCTAAAAATAAAATGAAAATAAAAAAATTACGTTATATTTTTCTGCGTGTGAAATATTAATTTTAAAAATTTGGATAATTTAGATACTTTTGAGTGCATTACATAATAAACTTCAGTGAAAGCCTAGTAAAATATTGAAAGAATTTAAATTTTTATTACCTGTTGCCATTTGGCTACTGACTTCATGCCATGGCCAGTGCTGTTCAGTTGGGAAGTTAATGTTTCCCACAAACCTCTCAATTCCGCATTATCCTCGGCTTGGTTTGCAAATGTTCGTTTTAGCAATTGAGGGTAGGTTTCAAAAAAATTCACTACTATAGCCCAATGCTCTTGAGTAGCTTTAGTATCCCGCTCCCGAATATCTATAATAGTATAACTTATTAATGCCTAATTTAGAAATAACTTTAATAACTTACCCATGACAATAAAATATAGATATATTTTTAAAATAAATACAAAATACACCAACACATACAACTGACACAACAACAAACCTGAAATTTGAGGTTAAAAAGTACTTAGAAAGATCACTCAGTACGATGATGCTTAGGTGGTGCGATTCATAATAGAGATAAAGAAATAGAAATAAAATTTCTTTCTATTACGTTAGGCGGTACGGGTTCAGGATTCGCAGATTTTTAGACAGTTCCTTGAAAGCTAGAAACTTTTTATTCATCTTTTCTACATTGTAAGGGTGTTTGCGTCTAGCCAGTCTTATTATACTTGTTAATTGTGAGGGTATAAAAATATCTCCTGCTTCTTTAACGGCATATCTTATGGCACTATGTGCACTATCCCCTTCACTTTGTCCATGGTGGGGCTCAAAAAACGTGATACGAATCTCATCTAATGTAGTGGTGTTATTTATGCAATAAAGCATCATTGTGGGTAAAATTGTATTTTTGTTTTGGCCAGCACAGCCATCGCAATATAAGTGAATAACACTTTTGTTTTGGGATTCAAATTTTTTTATAGAAGTGTAAACGCAAGTGGCAACCTTACATGACCCTCTTTTGCTAATTATCTCGTGCCATACTCGTGCCACAAATAGCAATCACAGTCTCTAGATGCTATATCATAAACAGTGAAGTTGTAAACTGACAACCTTCTTTTATAGAATACAGCACTCTCCTTTAACATTGGAAGTGAAAAAACTTGTTGCAAGTCGAAAACAGCACAAGCATACTTTGAGTTCGGTTGCTGAGCCATTTGTTTACTTTCATCTTTATAGGTTCATAGATTTGAATACTTTGCGCTACACAGAATAAGCTCCTTTCATTGGAGGTCCAGATTCATCTGCTAGATACATGGAAAACATTTTTATTAGACTTAGATTTTCATGTAAATATTCACGAGTTGAATTTTGACGGCAATAATGAGATTTAACTCTTTCAAATTTATTTATGTGTTCGGTAATTCCATTAATTAATTGAAGGTCTCTATCGACTTGTGACTTATACCGTCCTCCTCTCTGTTCTTTTTCAATAATTCCAGTTATACTTTTCTTCGATAATGTTGTACTTATATATACTCTTTGCTGTCGTTGTCAGAGTACAAAGAAAAATTTTTTTACAAACTGGTAGTTCGTCGTCGTCTAACAGAAGAAAGTAATAATTGCTTTTATTTTTTCGAGATACCCCTTTTTGTGTAGTTTTTTGTTTGATTTCTTCCATTTTGATGTACCTTTCAATGTACTCTCTTTGTAACTGCAAGGATCCCATTGAATAAAAATCTTGCATAATCTCTTGTCTTTTACCATCACTGAAGAGACTACATTTCTTATTACGTTTTGAACATGATTCCCCATTGCGTCGAAGTCCCAATTGTTTTGGTGGCATGAGGTTCATTGTTTTCGGTCTTACATAACGCTGTCCCTTGTTCTTTACTTCTTTGGCTAATTTATATGAATTTATTTTCCTGACTTTTTTAAATGAAACTTCTCTTGGAGATCCCTCGACTCGAAACAAGCTCTCCGGATTGTAATCTTGGTGTGAGCGGCAGTTATTATTTGCTTCAAAGTGTTCAAAACAGAGTAAGACTTTTAAGCAGATACAAGCACTATATATTTCAAATGAACAATTTGGGTGTTCACAGAGCTTTTCTTTGCTGTCTTCTTTACCTAAGTTAGCTGCTTCATTTGCCTTCGGGCTTCTTTTATTTATCTTTCTAAAGTTTGTCTCTAATTCTTTATTTGTCTAGACTAAATAAGTGACGCCGACATAGATCATGATTATTACAAACAACTTCTTTGCAAAGTAATGCACTACACTTGTTAATACCTTAGTTTTTACATTTTCTCGGTGTACATTCATAAACAACAAAATCAGGGTCTTCATTACTGTAATCTCCAAATAGTGAGTCCCCACTTTCACTATTGAATTGAGTATACTTTCGTTTTAAGGCTTCTCTTGTTATCGGCTGTCTCAAATGTGTGTTTGATACATCAACTTTATTCTTGTTTTTTTAACATTATCAGAGCCACATTCGCTTAGAGGAGATTTTGATAAGCCAACTTCTTCCTGGCTATTATCATCAGAGTTGTTGTACTGTGCATCACTATCATCATCATTTTCTGTAGCAACTATTATTCCATAGTATAATTTTCCACCATAGTCCATTTTCAGTTTTTTATATTTTTCGAAACGGTTTGATCCATCAATAAGAGACAATTCTTTAATTGCAACAACATTTTCTGTTCCATCTTCCCATTTAATTAAAACATCCATGATTATTAATTAGTTATCTGAAATAAATAATAATTACATAATACATAATACCTACATAATACAAAAATATTTTTTTCTCCTTGATGAGTGCTCCACTAAATAGTATATTGTATTCCTAGGCAGTAAAATGCTTTTTCAGGCCTCAAGAATTGGTCAGGCTCGGCGCAGTGGTGTACATATAATTTTTTATCCTACACAATAATTGTTTTTAAAAACTATAAATGTCTAATCTCCGTTGGAGTTGTATTATGGATAAAAAATGGCGTCGTAAAACAAACATCAAACATGACAGCTTATTATTTTAATGATTCGATATACATCTAATCTCCTTGAAGCCAGTAAAATTCAACTTTCTCATAGTGAAGGATAAAAATAAAATTACATTCAGCCCTGTATAACTGGGCCAAAATGAACCTACAGTAGATTAGGTACTGTTGGGACAAATATGTCACGCATTGCAATTACACTTATTTTTTGATGAAAATAACTGTTAATCTTAATCTAAATCCTAATATACATAATAAGTAGAGAGCGGAATATATGCAAAATGCATATATATGCATTTTTTGCATATTTTACCAAAATTCAGAAAATATTGCATATTTTTCCAAAATTCAGAAAATATTGCATATTTTACCAAAGTTCAGAAAATTTAAGAAAATATTGCATATTTTCGAAAAAAAAAAATGTATTACTATACTGTGCAAATCAAAAACTGTTTTAACAGATTATACAGATATATTTGAAATAAAGACCTTTTAAATGTTTGTATTTGTTTTTAAGTGTCACTTCTTGTTAATTAGTTCTTGGAGGGTGGCATGCACTGGGTTTTTACCTTCTTAAGAGATTAAGCCCATTAAGGTAATTGTTAATAGATGGTATTTACACAGATAAAGTATTACCTACAATGCAATAAAACGGTTTATATAAAATTCTCAGTAATTTCTTGTAACCAATCTACCCTAACATCGGAATATTTTGAATGTTTTTCATTCAGTTTAATGAGATAGTATCCTCGTTATTTGCCTAGTGAAAAGTTTTCTAATAATTTGTTGTTTTAAAAGTGTCCTAAAATGTCGAGAATTTCTTCGTGGATTATTAACTTTCCAGAGTTGGAAATCAATGGGGATAAAGTTTTTTGTGAAGCTTGTGCCAAAATAGTGGTTTGCGAAAAACAGTTCAAAGTGGTTCAACACGTGAAAACATCATTGCATAAAGCCAAATTGTAAAAAATGAAATCACAACCGGTTCAACAATGCGTTGTGAGGTCATTTCAAAACGCCGACAAAACAAAAAGTGACAAGGAGGTATTTAATCAGGACTTGTGCAAAGCTCTTGTTGCGGCAAATATTCCATTAAAGAAGTTACAAAACCTACATCTAAGAGAATTTTTACAAAAATAATGCAATCAAACCATACCTGACGAATCTACATTCAGAAAAAAATGTACGTGCTATATATATAAATGTAATAGAAGAAATTAAAGTTTTACTGGATGATAGCAATTTTTACATCATTGTTGATGAAAGCACAGATGCTTGTGGAAGATATATGGTACATCTTATGATTGGAGCCTTAAAAGAAAATGAACCAGGTACATCATATTTAATTGCATCAAAACAGAAAAAACTAACAATACATTACCCGATTTATTCAACAATCTTTAGCAGAATTTTTTTTTACCAAATCAAATTCCCTCAGAGAAGTTCTTAGTGTTTTTGTCTGACGCAGCACCATATATGATAAAAGTAGGGCAAAACTTTAAAATATTTTATCCAAATATGGTCCACGTTACTTGTCTTTTGCATGGAATAAACTTAGTTGCAGAAACTGTGAGAACAGAATATCCCTTGGTTAACAAGCTAATTTCGAATGTGAAAAAAATATTTTTAAAAGCCCCTTTAAGAGTGCAGTTGTATACAGAGAGAATGGTAGGGGTGTGTTTGCCCCCGGAACCCGTAATTACGCGATGGGGGACATGGATTAAAGCAGCTATATTCTATGCAGAAAATTTTGAAGCAATTAAGGATTTAATTTTGGATATAGAAGACAATTCACAATGTGTAGTGCGAAGTAAAGAATTGTTAAAAAATCCCCTTGTGCCTAAGCAACTTGTGTTTATAAAGGTTAATTTTAGTTTTTTATCTGATGTAATAACTTCATTGGAAAAGAAAAATTTAAGTTTAATCGAATCAATAAATTTTATTGCAACAGTTTTCGATAAATGTAACAATGTTCCTGGTGACATAGGCCTTAAGATTAGAAAAAAATTAAATACAACTTTATTAAAGAATGAAGGGTTCAATGAAATAAGAAAAGTGAAAAACATTTTTGAGGGAAAATTTTCCAAAGAAGTTTTACGTTGGCCCTGTACATTACTTCCAAAATTACGGTATTGTCCTATTACTTCGGTAGATGTTGAAAGGACCTTTTCTATATCAAAACATATTTTTACAGACAGAAGACAAAAAATTTTAATAGAAAATTTCGAAAAATATTTAATTATAAATTCCTATTATAATATTACTATTTAATATTTTTATACTATTCTATACTTAACTTCTACTAGTTTTTGTGTTTCGTTTGTTTTAAATAAATTTTTATATTACATATTTTCTTTTGTTTTTTTTTTTTCTTCTTGTAATGGCTTTGATAGCGTACCAAATTAGGAACAGCAATGTTAATTAGAACCCAACAGTGAATGGTCAAGTGGAAATATTCGCTAGGCATCAGAATTAATTTTTAAATAAATTAATTAATTTAAAAAATCGCGTCCCGGCTGGAATTTGAACCCGGGACCCCTAAGTCCACAGGCCAACGCACTAACCACTGAGCTACCCACCCCTACTTTTTTTAAGTATTTTTAACAAATATGCATTTGCATATTTAGGCATAATTGGACAAAATAACTGCATATTTTTGGTAAAAACGATGCATATATATGCGCATATTTTGTTATATTTTGATGCATATATTCCGCCCTCTAATAATTAGTAATACATACCTAGTTATTTCACAAAGAATCTTCAATAAAAATACAATATAACTAGCACTTAAATCGTCAAAGAGTTACCACACAATGTGCTCACTAGAGACAATAACACACAAACTGTGAGGTTATGTTATTTTGTCGCGCAAACGAATCTCGTCTTTATGAATTTAAATGTGTGGTTCCCCTATACCTACCTACAGTATTTTTAAAATGTCCTGAGACAAATGATACTCTACAATGTTTTCAAAACCAATATTTTGAAGAAAAAAGTCGTAGAGGAGTTAAAACTTCATTTATTTAGTTCTATTTTTGTATTAAATTGAGATATGCCCTTATGTGACGCAGATATTAAATTTGGTTGTTTTCTCAAAAGGGCCTATCTTTGAGTTGAGCTCTTTTGTAAAAATAATAATTCGTCTCGACGGAGTTATGCTAAAACACACTTTTCCCCATAATTTTGTTGCCTTTTATCGTAGAGATATGCCGTTTTGAGAGAAGAAAATATACGCTACGGGGCACACCGTCCACTATATAACTCAAAATCGACAAAAAATGAGTTATGCCCTTTGTAAAAACAGTGACGATAGAATTGAAAGAAATTAGGAATAGATATTTATTTGTTTCCAACATTTTCCCCAAAGAACCCTTTTTTTAGGCTTTGCGTCTCTATATACTCTGTCTTCTGTTTCATGAGTAAAAAAATCTCTCTTTCTTCACTATAGCTCCAAATCAAGTCTTCGACTATTCGAGACTTCATGCTTCCAGCTCAGATGTTCAAAGTCCTTTTTTATCAGACTTAAACTGAATAGCTTATTTTCTTCATCTTCCTTACAATGCCTGAACAAGTATCTCGTTTGTTCAAGACTTAGTTCACTTTACCTTCCGTTTGTATAAAGTGCTTGCCATTGTTATAGACATTTGACTTGGAATTTCCATTTATTTCACTTATTAAATTGAAAAGATTTCCTACATTTGCGTTGATTGAAAAATGTAGAATGATACAATGTTTTCGCTGCTCATATTAGAGGTATAAAATGTATCTTATTACACCCTGTACCATTTATCCATATTTCAATTTATCCCGCTTACTGTTTTATTCCAACTGAATTGTGATCTCTCATCCGAAGAAATAGTTCTAGCGTACATTTTTCTATCCATATATAAAGAAAATCAACATGACGACGGTTCAGTTTCAATAGGATTGGCGTTTTATATTTTGTGAAGTTTTGAAGGTATGATTGTTTTATATATTTTTCAGAATATAATTATTTCAACACATTAGAATTACTCTTACAGACTAAGAGCCAGAGACCAGTAGGACATTCACTATAGTATGGTCAAGATTTTTCATGTGCGTGTGTGTACATTATAGTAGATAAAAACGTTTGGGTTTGGGGGTTCAACAGGTTCCTAAAAAATGTTGAGCAAAAACGTTATAATATGATAGCTGATTTTTTTAATAATCAACAATTACCTGGCACTTCTCACAGGGAATAACGTCTGCCAGACACTTTTAAAGGCACAAAATAATGGTGGAAATAACGTCATAGTAGGTTATTGATTATACAAGGGAAAAAGTATTAGAGTTTAGCTCGAGGTTGTGTTGTCTTCCGACGCGAAGCGGAGGGAGAAAAAAAAACGACATTTTGTTACCTGACAAGAGAGATAAACTGTCAAACTTTTTTCCCGTCACAAAAAGAAACAATATTATTTAAACAGCCCGACACATCTAAAGGGTCTAACATCCTTAACCAACCTTGAACAACTGTTACCTGTCGAACCCCTCCATAGTCAACGTTTATAACACCCAAACGTTCTTACCAACTATAGTATACACACACATGAAAAGTCTTAAATTGCATACTATAACGTGTCTGGCGGTCGCTGGCTCTAACACTATTATGATTATTTTATATGTATCAATTTGTCTTCAACTTAATGCATTGGGTTTTATTTTCATCCAACAAAGAAACAAATTCGTCTAGTAACACGATTTTTTTGTTAAGAC